TATGAGTCGCTACATATTTCAAATAATTTATTTCTAGCATTACATCTTCCTTATACAAACAAACATTAACAGCCCTATGTACAAAAGACGAAAATGAGTTTTTGTGATAATTGGTGACACAATCTCGCATGTAGCGGCATGTCAACTGAGAATGGCTTCCTTTATACAGAAGCAGTACACGGTGATGTGAAGCCTAATGAGTCTGAAATTGAATAAACTAAACTCTATAGGAACCTCATGCGTTTGACAACCAGAGTAGCCCATTCATGGCTTTAACTATTGTCACTTGAGACCATCAAAAAAAGACTGGAATTGCTAGGGATGCAGCAAACATTGATTGATGAAGATGGTAATCCGTGAAGTAGTTATGTTACTTTTCATGATGAGAGGTATACTGCCAAGTGAACTCGAGTCATGGAAAGTTCTGGGAGCCACACAACAAGGCAGGTGAGGCTATCAATTTTATCAAAATCCACAGCAGGTGAAGGAGAGTCAACAGCAGCTGTAGCTGCAACTATTTCAACTCCAGGAAACTATCGACTTGTGGGTGTGCAACAAGTTACTCCAAAGAATGGTGGTAAATTTTTCACATAAAGATACATACACAAGGGTGAGAGATAGTTTTTCTGGTTGATACAGAGGCTTCTAGAATACTTGATGATCTTGCTGTGTATCAGGTGCTCTGAGTGAAGACAGCACTCCATCCAGTCAAAATTAGCTTCATTTTGGTGAATAGCAATAAGCTGGATGTGACTTCAGAGGCATGTATCCAATGATGTTGAGTTGATGTTAACCATAGAATGAAAATATCATTTTTCACTTTGGTTCTGGCATTGGTATCCTGGTGATGAGTGTATTATGCACATTGTTGGTCATTTTCGCCTGTGCAACAGGTGAATGGCATTTCCTTGGGAAAGCCATCTGATGCCACCCAAACCAGTCCTAAGAACAGCAGACCACACAAGTATACACTGTGGCAGAGGGAGTCACAGTACCTCAATGTACACAACTACTGTTATGTGATTTACTGTAGATGGAGTCTAGCACATTGGTTACATGTAACATGGTGATAGAACCAATGCATTAAACACAATGCTTTGTATATCCAGAAATCACACAACATTGGCTTAAACAGTTATCTGTTTGAAAGGGGATGTAGTACTTGGGTTATTCTGCAATTATGGACAAAATGGAGGTAAATGAAACTATTACTATTGCTAAGGTTGCTTTTCTTGCATCATGTCCAAGAGTGAATACACGGCTGCTAACATATCTCAGGTTGGTAGTTGAGGATTGTTCAAATAATCTAGATTCAACACAGTTTCAGAAGCTCAGTGATTTGTTGCATATTATAATGCATTTTGAGACCAGATGGGTCATTGGGTCAAACCAACATAACTTGCCACCACAAAGATACAGGCAATGCACATCCAATCAAATAACTTCTGAGCAGGCTTCCTTGAAACTCTAGTGATACACCAGATGTTTAAAAACATAATCATACAGAATAACAGAGTGTATGGTCATCTCAAGTAATGATAGTTAGAGATAAGGGACCAAGATTCTGTATCAATTTCAAAGGGTGAAAGTTATGCTTTTCCACTACAGTAGACAGATAAATGTCTGGATGACTCTGGCTGATGATTCAACACTTTAGACCTGACATACAGATACTGATAAGTCAAACTGGATGATAAGAGCAGACCTAAGATGCTTTCAGCACTCAAGCACAAGTTTTACATCATGCCATTCAGATTGTATTAAAGGCTAATAGAGCTTACACTATAGGGGTTGCAATGAGGAAAATGTCTGGTCTATGTTAATAATGTCTCAGTGTTTAGCCACATATTTAAGTCCACAGCTAAAAACCAGATGATGGTACTTCAGTGGAGAAAAACGTTAGGCTTGAAGTTGAAACAATGGTAGTGTGCATCCTTGCATACCCAGATGGATTTCTTGATCAAATTATGGGTAGACATGGAGTTTCACTGATCCTGCAAAGTCTAAAACAATGCAAGACTGCTCTCAACCATTGACCAAATGAAAAATATGCAGTTTCTTTGCTTTTGTATCATATTTCCAATGGTTTGCAGCTAACATTCCCACATAATTATCTGTTCTAATTAGGGCAAATTGTCATGTAGCAAGGTGAAACATGGTTAACTCAATTTGAGCAACATAATATAGACGCACGTAACTCGTGGCACTTGTACGGGCAACTACAAGTACATGAAGGTGTACTGTGTCATTATTGTATATCAATCAGCAAGGTGTGGCTTGTAACCTATATTCTTGTTATTTGTACCCAGGGCTCTTGGAAAAGAAATTCTTCAGATTTTGCATAATACAAAGGATTGAGGCCATAAAGTCATTACTTGTACTTGATTTCACATGCAATGCTAGTTTTAGTTAAAAGCATTTAAAATGAGATGTTAAGCATTGGTCTAAACATTGTATCATATATGTAGCCCAGAAGAAATTCTAGCCTGAACCCTGTATACTCTAGCAGATAAATTGCAGTTCTTCTTTACAGAGGTTTGCCCTGGATATCACTGATTCTTTCCCAGAAACTGAATAAGGTAACTGAAATAGGCTGATCATTATCAATTACTTCACTAAATGAGTCAAGGCTTATCCGTTGGCCAATATATCAGCACAGTCTGTTGCTTATGCATTGTCAGAACACTGAATAGTCTGATCAGCACACTTGAAGAGATTCATATGAATCAGCTATTTTAGTGAGTTGTATAAAGTATTAGGTGTGATGAAGACATGCATGTTGCCTTATCGCCCTCAGTACGATGGTTTAGCAGATTGAGTAATACAATTTATCAAGCAGATGCTGTAAAATTTGCTAATCCTAACAGAACTTACTGGAGCAAATATTTGCGATATGTCATATTGGCATTTCATGCACCAGAACAGGGATTGATTGGTTTAACATGTCCATGTTTGGGTGAGAAATACTGCTCCAAGTAAATGTGATGTATGGTTCACCCTTAGAGAAAATGTGCTACAGTGTTTGCAAGAACACGTGGAGTAGTTAAGGTCTGCACTTTAGTTAATGTTCACCAGTCCACTTGTTAGCAGCTAGAGAAGGTCTCTATATAGCAGAATAGTTCTTATGATAAGACAGTTATGGAACCAATGTTCCAGCATAAAGACTGTGTATGGCTTTGGAACGTGCCAGCAGCATGGAATGAACTTGGTTCTGACTGGATAAATCCTGATATCATCGAGATTGGTTTGGCAGCCATTTAGGTCAGTAAGCTCGACTTTAACTTTAATATATATTTCTGAATGAAATATATTAGTTTCCTTTTTTAATTAACACAGAATCTCTCCCTTAATCAGAGATGAAGTAGTGTTTTTAGGTGGCAGGTCAAGGAATAAAAAATTCCAATATTTGTTTCTTGGAGGTGTTGCATACATTATTTGAAAATCCAGAATATCCTGTATCCAAATATGATATCCATATGACAGCGACATATTTCATTCAAGAGTTATGACTAGTCAAAGAGACACAGAATTTCAAAGTGGACACACCACCTTATCTACTGGGGTCACACACATGAACTGATTCTCTTTTTTGACTATCAAATCAAATTATGTGACATATCTTCACTGTACAGGTTGCAAGTCAAACATCTCATAACCTTGCACATGCAGGTAATTGAGGGGGAAATGGTGATTGATGATGGTAAGTTGAAGAGTAGCAAAGCTCCAGTCATGGTCAGCATGACTTGGAGCTATCTGATTTATTGTTTCTGGTCTGGAAAACAGATGGGCGAAAAAAAAGGAGCTCACATAGCAGAACTGTCAGTTACACAACAAGAAAAACTGTCATTAATTATGGAGTTTCTGCTGATGATGTAGCCAATCATAACTCAGTCAAATTTAGTCCAATTTGGAAACTGTAAATTGTAATAATCATTTTCTACATCCTTTATAAGTTTCACCAAAGTTGGATAAAACTCGGATTTTTTATATCTGATCCTTGCCACCAAGGCACCTCTGGTTGAAAGAGAGATTCTGTGTTAAATATTTTGAACAACATGAAATTTTTATAGTTACTTTTAAACCAGTTAATCTGCAGTCAAGGCTTAACATAACAACTTGCATAAAAGTTGGGTCATGATTAGTCTCAAATTGGAATTGATATTAATTTATTAATTGATGTTTTAAGTTATAGAAGGATGAAGCAAATGTTAGGGCTATAATCCTTTTACAACTTAGAAAATGAATACATCTTTATTCTGGTATTTTTTCAAATTTTAGTACAGGCTGACTGTATTTAAACGTTTTATCTGAACAGAGTGTACTCAGCTGTTTCTAGGCAGTGACTCATGGTTAGAAAATACAAATTTGTATGGATGTCTCTCTTTATCACCAATACACTAGATAAGTCATTAATTACCTTTTCACAACACATTGTGCAAAAGGACATATAGACATTGGGAACTCCATGTTTCCTTTTTCATATTCTGGGAAGTCCTGGCTGACTTGGACTTTAAAATTTATTATTATAGTTCCAAGCAAAGTTAATGCTTGATTGGAATCACATTTGTTTGATTGAAGCCAGTTGTTGAGATTTTGCCATAATTTGCATCAGATAGGGAATCCAATCTTAAAGAAACAGTAAATAGTGTATAGTTTCCTATAACAGATGATAATTTATTTGCTATTTTTGTGTTGGGTTTATAAGTGTTTTTTCTGTTTGAAAGCAAAACAAGTCTAGTATCACAACCTCCTTTTTTTGGCCAATTTCAACTTAATCATGCTAATCAAACAAATTCTGAGAATCTCCTGTTTTGCATGTTTAGTGCTTACCCATTTGTTTCAGTTTAATCTGAAAATACAAAAATAATAATTCAAGAGATCAACAATCTCAAATATTATTTAGAACACCTTACTTCCCTCAAGAAATGAAGTTTGTAGTGGTATATAACAGTGAAATAACAAAGTTAAAAAACTGTATGAACAAAAAAAGTCATAAAAAATTCAAACAAGACATGTTTATTGCGCATTATGTAGAACAAAGAAAGAAGTTTTTTGAAATAAATGTTCACACAGAATCTTTTTTTTTTGAAATTAGCCTAAAAATTAAATCAAATTTCAGACACAACCGGGGAAGCTGCCATTGTTATAAAAACTAGCTGATTACATCACAAATTCCAAAATTTTATATGACAATTTACAGATTCTTCTTTTCTTCACATCAATAATTACATTATCCAACAAGATTTAGAGCACAGCTCTTTTCTAAAATTTTCATAGATAAAAAAAAAAACCTACAATTCTCTTATTATAATTAATCCTTTCCAATGATAAAAAACATTCTTTAAAATGCTCAAAATACATAGAGGAAAATAACTTTCTTAAAAAGGTGCAGTTAGGGAAATGGCTGCCCCTTTTCCATTTGAGAAAATGCATATTTACAGTATTTTTGTGTACAATCTTAAACATAAAAAGTAATCAAAGAAAAAATAATTAAATAACTTTTCAGTTGTTCTCCATTAAAAATAACCATTATATATTTGTTTCAATTTGTTATCAAAATCTTATTATTTTAATCTTCAAGCATCCCAAGCATGTTGTTTCACGTCAGAGGATAATTAGATTAAAAGGTTTAGGAAGTTTCTTTCTCAAAATAATACCAAAATATTTTCACATTCTAAAAATCTTACTTGAAATTTCTAAACAATTTTTTTCTGTTATATGTTGATAATCATATTTGCCGAGATTTTTATACTCAGAATTTAAATAACTGTATGAATACTAAACACACAAAATGATTCAGAATTCAAATATAAAAGTTCAAACAATTAAATTTATTATACATTTTTTGGTAGCAGAAAAAATTATCAAGAATTTGATAACATGTTCACTAGTTACTTTTAATGGAGATTTAGGTACTAGAAACTACACAAAGCATATTCTGGTTGTAATTTATCCAGTATGTGTTAACTGATTTCAGCAGTACAATTACAAGTAAATTCAACTTGTATTACCTCAATATTGCTACTAATACTAACCATTTTACCATCTGTACATTCCATGCATAATATTTACAAAACAGAAAAAGAAGGTTTATTCAATAGGTGTTTTAAGAGTTTAGTAAACAACTTTAGTTAATGAGGCGATAGCTGCCAACAATGATAGGGCCTTTAAAGCATTAGTAACTTCTTTCAATCTTGGTAGTTTGAAAGTTCCTTCCAAATAATTAAATGTTTGCAAAAAACTTTCATATTATACAACTATTGTAGACACAAGTTTATGAGACTACAGTAACTATGTTACAGCTATGTGACATTAAACTATTTTGATCATTTGATTCTAATGCACTTGGCAACCAAATTATCTGTTATTTTACAGATATCGGTTATTATGTAAATATTAGTAACTGGAAATCTAGCAAAAAAGATAGTATAAAACATGAAGCTTATTTTAATCCCTTAACCTGTTTTTAGCTTCTCTAATAAAATAATTGTGATTTTACAAGGAATACCCCTACATATATAAATCTTTTTTTTAACATACAACATTTATATTCTAAATAGCTTTATAGATATTACATCACAAACTTCTATGAAATCTGTTTAGAGCAGAAACATTAGTGAAGCAACAAAAAAAAGATCCAAATTTGCTGCAGAATTGGTTTATGTTACTTTCAGATATGTAAATAGATAACAATGGTTTTACTGTAACATGAGCTCAAGGTCTCATTTGAATAAAATTTAAAGGTTATAAACAATGATTCATGAGGAGCTTATGCTACTAAGCTTCATCAGAAATAGTATTAAAATTTAACTTCAGCTTCTTGGAGCGTCATATTCTTTCACAATTAAAAACATGGCCAAGGCATATAAAAAATGCAGGCACTCGACATATAGCAGTCAACAAAACCACTTTATCAAGTCAATAAGCTGATTCTTTAAGCAAATAATGTTATGAATAATAAAATTCAACATTTTTTTTTTATATTGAAAACTAAGCCTTATGGGTAATAGTTTAAACCTTTGTACTTATGATCTTAAATTGAAATAACATATGGTAGAAGTATTTTAATGAAAAGATCCTAGTATTATATTTTTGTTATTTTAGAAAAACAAAACATGAAAAAGAGTAATTTCCTGAGCCTATCATGCAAAATAAACTAATATTTTTTAGGCACAAAACAATGAAAAAGTAATTTAATTCTGAAAACAAGTTCAATTAAATCTTGAGATCAAACCTTTGATTTTATTCTTTAACCCTCTGACTGCTGATTCGCCGTATAGGGTACAGTCCGCCATCCATTGAATGCGAGTGTGCTGTATACAGTGTACAGCTCACAAAAATTCTGTGCACATTCAAAGCAGCCATAGTCAAAGGGTTAAGGATATTCTCTGACTCCTTATTCTCAAACACCTCTTCCACAATAAAATGAGAATTACAAAACACATTTATCAATTGATTCACTGACATTTTCTGTAATTGTACATAAATCAGGGAACTTGATTCATGAAATAGATCTTATTTTGATTGTAAACTGATTTTCTTAAAGGATAAAGTTTTTCTTCTCTAAAAGTTATCTCACTGGAAACAGATTTTCATTATAACATCATGAGAAGAAATCTTATGAAGTCTTTATTGCAGATGATATATCTGACAACTAAAAGATAGATGCAAATAACTTAAAAGTAAATCACAAAGACAGTAGCAAGACCTATTATTTGTATTTCCATAATCTTATTCACTGAAAGAACTCAAGAATTTATTAGAAAGATTTTGATTAAAATAAGTAGCAATGACTAACAAATGAATATTTTTATTTTGCTTAACCAAAGGTCTTGCAGACAGCATAAGAGACCATATGCTTTTAGATAATCCTGGAATTATAATACTTGCTGCTGATGGAACACAAGACAAATTAATGTACTTTAGACAGGTTTGTTGGTGAAGTCCACATTTCTCCAGAAATAGATAACTTGTTCAAATCAAACTGTTGTCATTTGGATTTGCAAACACTTAATAGATTGCATTCATTTGTTTAGTTAAACAGTTTATAAACTTCAGTCACAACAGATTTTCTCTGAAAAGGGCAGATTAAAAAACATAATAAGCTATAGATATCTCAATTTTAAAAGATGATGTATTATACTGATTTAAGTATTGGATCTTTTAAAGAACAAGACAGACACAGAAGACAAAACATCATGTCAGATTTCTTACACTAAATTTGATTTTATGCAGCACTTCCACTCATGATTATGAAAGACAAATAATAACATTATTATAAAACAACATTTGTATAAGCTATTCTACATTATGTTACCTTTTTCTTTCTAGCTTGAGAAAGTATCATAAGAAAAATGTACAATTAGTGTTATGCTTAAATAAGGAACATGGCACACACTAAACTTACTGAAAACCATTACTGATCTGGCATTAAACTATTCACAGTGTCTTTGTTGCAAGAAAAACAAAACAAATCTAAAACTAAGGCTCATGGTTTATATCTTTAATGTTAGGTTATTAGTTTTGAATTTTTTCTTATTAAAAGGACTACTAATGGAACTTCATACATATTGTTTGATGTATCTCAAACAGAAATTAACAGATCTGATTGCTAACCAACCACTACTGACCGTATCTTTATGAAACGAATCTAATAAGTAAGTCATATAACACACTACAGTTGTGACTGAAGAGGATTGCAAAAGTTCAAAATATAGGCAAAGAAACTGGGTGACACACTGATAAAGTTATCTACTCAGAATTTCTGTTCATGAGTTGAGAAAAGCAAAGCACAACACACCCTTCTGTACATCTACCATACAAAGAACATACAACACTAACAGTTCTAATATTTAATAACAGAGTATAAAATAGAATGTGACAAGCAGGTAAAATATAAAAAAATAATACAAGAAAAGAAAAAACAAGTTAACAGTGTGATCACATAAGATTAGGTCAGATGTTTTCTTTCTCATTCAAGCATACAAAGCTGTGCTCTAAAACATACAGTTTCTTCAGCTTCACAAATCAAACAGGCTTCAATCTAGCTCATTTCTGTCCTACAGGGCCAGATGAAGATTGTTGGTCATGCTAACAAGTAGACACTTCTAGTTGGATATGTAAAAATAAATCTTCTACTTCAAGTGGACATGTTTTATCTAATGCAAACAACTATAAAAGGTGTAACTGCAGCCACCTTACAAGAGTAGGCACTGTCAGGAGATTAAGATGGACAAGGATGACACTTGATGTAATGATGGACAGAATGATGCAGTGCTCCAAGTCAATTCTTAGTCTTTCACCAGTCGATAGATGTGATGCTGAGCACCATGTTCACTTGTAGACACTTCAAAAACATAAGCAATACACAACAGCGTTTCCTGGGTTTCTCTATTAGTCACCACCTGTTAATGTTATAAAAATCAAAATATTGATTATTGAAAAAATACATTTAATTTAATAAGAAGTTATAACTCTTCAATAATACTACCTTTTGCTTTAAGTAAAAAGATCTGATAGCAAATATAGTTAGTCAGAGGGTCTTGGAGGTAATTAAAATATATGAAAAGTTTTAGGTAGACAATTTTTAGTCCAACACTAATTTATTTTGATACTACTAGCCATCATTATTTCTAAAGATTCTATCAAAGTTTGATAAAGTACTATGAATGGTAGTCTTATCACAGAAACATGGAGTCTAATAAAGATTCAGCTAACCTCCTCACTCAAGTTATTGAGCTGAATATCCAGAGAATTTGATATTCCGGACGGATTTTCTGTTAATGTAAATGAAATTACTCAAGTATGCTGAACACAGTAGAGCAATTGTTCTAATACTAATCATGATTTTCAGGAAGTTAGAAACAGTACAAATGAGGCTAGAAATGGTGATTTTAATTGTAATGAACAGGTTTTGTTAAGTAACTGATTTCATTCAGCCTTTAGCTTGTACAGATGAGGAACTATGGGAGGAAAGGAAAACAAAAAGGACAGATAGGGATAGGAATGAAAAACGATATAAAAGACTGTTTAGTTTAGATATTATCAATTAATTTACTTTTGTGAGTGAATATTTTATTATTGTTTAGTTTTTGTTATAATAAGAGTTAAAAGCAGATGACTGTAGAAAGTTTTGTTAATAATTTGTTGATGTTGAGACTATCGAACGTCATTTGTAATACACTGACATCAAGAATATAGAAGGCGAGCAGACAATTAAGTGAAAAAGATATAAATAGTGTGAGACAGACAACAGCAAAAAAGAGTAAAGATACAGACCAATGGAAAGTTTGGCGTGAAGTTGACTATCATAGAAGTGATAGACCTAATGATTAACATAGCATTTAATATGTTAGAGTAGGACTAACAGTAGAAAAGAAGATAAGAATAATAATTTATTCTATCAAAGCGTGGTTCTAAAGTAATTGAATCAGCATGGGTGCACTTTGGCAAAAGGCACAGAGGCTCTTCAGAAGAAAGAAGAACAAATGATTATGATAACTCATGCTATTGAATCACATACAGAATACTAGTGAGACATTAATACAGAAGAGTTCAGATTGGCAAGTGCAATTCTAATGTAATTGAATAGGCTTAAGTGGATTTTTGACAAGAAGAAGAGAACTACATATATAGATAGTGTTTATGATATGCCTGTAGTTTCTATATTTTGAAGAATCTGTTGTACATACGTTTAACTTGTTCCAAATATATATATTATTTTGAAATGAAGTGCGTACTGTTTATTTATCGTTGAATTTATCACTAACAAGTCACAGACACATATTGTAGAAGAATCCTCAGCCCAACAACAGCATAGTATATATTTATACTATTAAGAAATAAGTAAAAGCTTTTTTATTTAAATAATTAGCAAGAAAAGAAGAATATATTTTAAATTCTGACAATGTTATAGGTTGGTTCTTTAGTATGTCACATGGATATGATAGTCTGTGGAGTAAATAGGAAGAAAATAATTAAGTTATGCTATCCAGTAGCAGGAGTGGAGGATATAACTGACAAAGCAAGTGATATAGTAAAGAGGGTAATAACAGTGATACAGTCTTTGTAGTGCACATAAAGGCTAATGATGTAGGGAAAGGTAGATCAGAGAAGCTAACTGATAAGTTTCAAAGACTCATAAAGGCATTTAAAGAAAAGAGCCATGATAACTTAAGTCTGTCAAGGATACTGCCAAGACTTAATCTTCCCAGTTTGCACTGGAACAAGAAAGGTCCACCTTTCAAAAGTGTCTGTGTTATAGAGTATTTATTCATTTCTGCCAAGACTTAATTATGGGGATGAAATTATAAGCAGGTCAAATGTAGAAAACTTTTAAGAACAAATTTTTAAATATTTAAGACAGGCATGTTCCTTGTAGATAAAAAAAAATGGTTCCATGTAAAAAACCAGCGTGGCTTACAAAGGGTATAAAGGATATAATTAAAGAAAAGCATTATAAATGTAAGCAGTTTAAATTGATTGCTATGATGGGAAATTTAGAGAAGTATACAAGCTAAAGAAAGTTGGTCAAATGGAAAATTAATAAATAAAAACAATTTATATTGAAAAAGGTTGACTGCAAATGTAAAAATTAATAGGAAGGATTTCTTTAAGTACATTAAGAGTAAGCAAACTTTACTCCTTAACCTGTCAAAAGGTTTGACAGGTTAAGGAGTAGAACCTTTGAGGGATGATACAGGAAGGTTCCTATCTGATGATTATGAAATGGCTGTGTTATTAAATTCTACTCTTTCTTCAGTATTTATTAATGAAGGTTTAAGCAATATTCCTCATCCTGAAGAGTTGATAGATGGAAACACAGTCAAATAAGTGGATCACATTAATTCTGAGTTTGTTAAGAAAACACTGGAAAGTTTAAAAATGTTAAAGCTCCTCCATCAGATAATACTTTCCCAAGAGTTTTGAAGAAGGTTAAGGATTTGATACGAGTCACTTGCTACTATTTTTTGTAAAACCTTGAATAGTGAGCAGATGCCAGATGATTGGAAGTTGGAGAGGTGATAAAAATTGTCCCAGAAATTATAGGCCTATTAGTTTTACATCAGTTATGGGACAAGGTTTTTAAAGTCTGATAAAAATGATATTTTACAAAGCCACTTAACAAAGTTTAAAATTTTGTTAGATAGCATCTAAGAGAAAATCCGGTCTTACTAATCTTTTGACATCCTTTGAAAAGGATACTGCTTAAGTATATGGGAATACAGCTGTGGATATGGATATCTGGATTTTAAGAGAGCATTTAACAAGGTGCCACATAAAAGACTTATTGAAAAAAATTATCTCTGTAGTTGTGTGGGATAGGTTGACTCATTGGGTAGAAAATTGGCTAGATGGAAAAAAAGCAGAAGGTTGTTATAAATGCAGTTCATGGCATCTTGACACTCAGTGTTAGGACCTTTTCTCTTTGTAATTTACATCAATAACATAGATGAAAGAATGGTTAATAAATCATATAACTTTGGTGATTATTAAGGTTTTGGGTATTGCTAGCTTTTCAAAATAATTTGGATTATTTGATGGGTCGGGTGACTAAATGGCACATGGCTTTTAATTATAATAAATGCAACCAATCTAAGGAATGTGCTGTTACTAGTGGCAGATCCAATAGGATTTTAGGTTGTATCTAGAGAAATATCAAACAAAAGACTAAAGAGGTTATAATTTCATTGTATAGGTCATTGGAGTATAATGTTCAGTTTTGGGCTCCTTACTTAGGAAGGGTATTGAATTGTTGGAATGGGTTCAGAGAAGGAATAAGAGAAGGCTTGTAAAATTTTAGTAGATGGGACAGCTTAGGTGGACCAATAGGTCCTTATTGTCCTTAAATGATATGTAAGTATATGATTAATATATATGCATATGTCACAACATATCTACACGATATTTTATCTAGCTGACTAATAGATGTCAATGATAAATTACAGAACAATGACATCATTATAGGATATGTAAACATGCACAATAATTGCCAAGTTGAATCATAGGTTTTTCTTTAGGCTTTGATCTTATCCTGTAGCATTAGCAAATATCTAAAGGAAAAAGAAAAGTATGGAAATATTAGTGTCTGATTAATACTATCAAAATCACTATAGAGAGAAAACAGCATAAATTAACATTGCAATAAGCTTAGAAATATATTTAAACTGGAAGTCTACCAAACTATCTTTACAGGAGAAAAATATAGCCAGTGCTAAATAGAAGTATTAAGGAAAGTGAACAAATTTGTTCTTATAGTTGGAATCTAGAGGCACAACAGTGATTCTAGGAAAGTTAGAAGGATGATCATGATTCTGTATAGACCAAATCCTAATGCTGGAACTTTACTATTCTTATGTTTCTGAATATTTCTAGACACTCTTACACCACATTAAAAACAGCAATTTTATATATATATTTTAGATTAGGAGAAATTAACCATCAAAATTAAATTCTATGCAATTATTGTTCTTTTTTTTAGTTCTTCTCTTGTTGAGGAAGCAAAACATAATGTATACAAAGTGGGGATGATACACAACAAAACAAATCACAGTCACTACAGGCATAAATGCTATCTATCTCAATTAAAACAGAGGATGACTTTGGTGAGAATGGAAAAGTTATAGTCAAAGAGTGGTCTGGTGGGTAAACTTTAATTATTAATAAATATGAAGCCAAATTTATTTTTTCAATTCACCACTTGTCACTGCATTATTCTGTCATCAGTAAACCTAGACAAGAATAAATTAAATAAACAAGGTTAGGCTCACATATATAGTTAGAAGGAGTGCAATGCTAAAATAATTACACAATGAATAATTTATTAAAACAGTAGAGCTGGTTCCTGTTTTTATAAATCATTTTTGTGTAATTGTTTTAGTGTTGTACTCCTTTTAACTGTGTATATATGTATTGCACAAGTGCCAATTTTGATTATTTAAAACTAGGCTTCCTCAAAATTGGTATAACTCAGTGACAAGTGGCAAACAGAATGAGAGATTGGGCATCATATTTATTTTTAGTATCTTAAACATGTCTGCTGAATAGTTCAGGAGAATAAATTAGTAGTATAACTATAACATGTTCTTCAAGTCCTATATAAAAACAGGTTCACTGTGACAAGTAAAAGGCAACTGAAACTCCATAAACTCCATGTTGTAGTGTCATGTGATAATGTTGCCTCAAATCTTATATTAGTTCAGATTTTTTATTTTTAGACATTTTAAATTTCATTATATATATAACATACAATAGTCAAAATAAATAACAAGTGACACAGAAAAATAATAATAAATTTGCATTAAATTCAAGTTTTATGTTGTTGAAAATTGTAATTAAAACATGTTGCTGTTTCTTCCGATTGCAATAAAAAGGACCAAGTATTCCCAGTTTTTTTTATTTAACTTACTTTCACATTACATATGGCTGATCCTTTTAACTTAGCTGTTTTTTGTACATGTAAAATGTTTTGGTCAGATTACATTTGTCTTAACTTATTCTCTGTATTTAAGTTCTTTATTAGTTTTAAAGCTTTTTAGAGTATTATAAAATTAATTTTTAACTGTTTTAGGTCTATTGTTATTCATTGTTTTACCACCTTTTGGCATTCAACACCATGACTAGAAATAATCCTTGCCTATTAATTTATGCTACATGTTACACAAAAAAAGTGTTGAACAGTAATACAAATAACCTTAGATGAACTTTAAATTTTATCAAGTTTTATGGCTTTTATTTGATTTTTCTATGCTATATTCTTTATTAATTTCTCTATAAACGGTTAGTCAAAAATAATTACATTAGAATATGTGGAAAGAAATTAATTTGGAAATGCTAACGGCTGTTTATAACCTAATTTTGTTGTGTTTGATAAAGTTTAATAGCAGCAGCGAGTTATTAAATAATTAATTAATTTTTGATTTTGCATGTTTATATAAGGATATGACTGTGTGTATGTAAAAATGTGAATTTAAAGCATATAATAGAACATTATTAATGAAGCTTATTTAGGGGTCTTGGGAAAAGTTTTTATGAATCAAATTATAAAGATATTTATTTTATTTTCAGTTCCACATGTTAAGAGGAGAACATAGTTAAGAAGTAATGTTGCAATAATTTATTAGAGAAAACTTTCAGTAGATATTTTAATTTCTAGTAGGTCATACCAAAAACATGAAACACAGCCACCAAATACTTTAAAATCTGTTTCTTTACAATAATATTTTTACAGATGTATTCACAAAAATGAGTAGACCATCTATCATCAGTGGTGTGGTGTATTTAGGGCTATCCCAGTTGTTTTCGTTTTTTAATTAACAACTTAATATGTATAGATGATTTTATTTACATTGGAATTATGTAACTTATTTCAGTAGGATGCAAAATGCTTTTTTCTTATCCGCATTAGGGTTAGGCAAACATTCTGGACCCCACAATCCCTGTGTCGAAGTCTGCATTATATGTTACTGTCTGTCATCATAGCTCTCAATTTTTTCTCTGAATTTACTGTTACATGGAAACTTTTAAAACTAACATCATAAGTAGAGTTTAGGATAAATTGCAATTAACCATTCACACACTTGTGCTTGTTAATCAAAAATCAGTCTTTATTGAGCTTAATTTCTAAAATTACAAGTTCGTTTCTTTTCCCTAATATTATCAACATATGTAAATCAATTAAGCCTATTAACAATAGACACTAAACTATTTAATTGATGTAATATAGTTGATAAACTGTTGTTTTTTTGCTAATTAGGCTTAATAAGTTAACCTTAAAGCACCTTTAAGCCTTCAGCACAAATTATTTAAGCAATGCAGTTTTAAAATGAATACCATTTTATATTAATTAATCCTAACTGATTTTACTGAAGGAACCAGACAGATTTGTTCTAATGATACGAGTACTTTCGTGAAAGAAACAATTACCTGAAGGATTGTGAAGTTCTCCAGAACACTGTTCATCATGTACTTCTCTGGAAGATGTTTGAGTTTATGAATGAAGTTGATCATATATTCACACATTGGTGACCTCTGTATTCTATACACAAAACGTCCATTTTCAAACCTAGCATATTCAGTCTGTTCCAAGGCAAAAAGAAAATCTGTGTCATAAATTGTAAAAAAAGTAATTTATATAGTATAAGAGCTGTACATATGCATTTCTAAGAACTTATGGGTGAAAGCAGTAAAGAATATGTAATAATATGTTAACCACACTATATCTGCCATATCCAGTGCTGACAAGATATTTTGCCCAATAACAGGGTTCATCAGGCTGGTTGGGATATGACTGGCATAGTAGTGATTGAATCTCTACTTATATCATCAATTGTATAAACAACATGTAATTATTATCAAGTTTAATTAAGTCATTTACAAATCAGAATTAGGCTAAGAGATTATTATTCATTTTATTTTTAATACCAATTGATGAAATTGCTGTTTAACATTTATATGACTTAGGCTCTTAGCTATTACATAAAATTAAAGACCAGAAGTTCTTGAATAATTTTGCAAGAAATAGAAGGACACTATTTACATTTACTCATAAAACATTTATTTTACCAAAAAGATAACATTTTATACAATCTCCAAATGAAATTTGTATTTTATAATTTTAAAAAAGTCTGTAATATATCATAGACTGTAAGATATGTATAATGATTAAAACAGCTATGAAGTCAATATTTATTATACACTGACAAAATTGAGTGGGTCTATTAGATTTGTTGAGATTATTTTCATATGTCACCACTATTTTCTACAATTAATCCCTCTATAACATTAAATAAAATTTAATAAAAATAATTATAATGAAAATTATTGCTTGAAGCACGAAGAGATGGTACATAATATTTCCCTTATATATATAGTTAATCTAATCATTATCAGTGACTTTTTGTAATCAATATTGTCTATACCAGGGATTCTCAAATTGTGGTACATGGAACTAATGTCAGTGGTATGTGAAAAAAATTAACATAAAAATTACAAAATTTGTAATAGGCCCAACCCAGTATATGTCCTTTGTCTACACAGACTTGCCAGCATTCTTTTCCCTTCAAATTGACAAAAATTACACTAAAAATTCTACAGATGTGCCAGAAAAAATCATCACATCCATCTCATTAATGAGTAAGTGATAAAATATTCATTTTTGCTACTAGGGTTTTTCTTTTTAGTTAGGCCTAGGTTTGTACTTCAAAAAACATTTAAACAAAAAGTGATACACAAGCCTGGAAAGTTTGAATATGTTTTAAGGCCCTAATACCAAAGTCTTGTGCATTTAAACGTTTTCTTGGCTATGTTAAGTATTTCCCTTTATAATTTCATTCTAATGTTAACATTTTCCTTACCCAAAACATATTTCCAATACATACTCACCTTCAAACACAAATAGCTTCTTTCCTCTTGAATTTGCACATTCTGCCAAAGAGATTAGCAAGCCACCAGCCTTGTGAAAACTCCCACCTAATCTTGCATGAAGTTGCACCACTGCATGATGCTATCATTATGTGGCAGAACCCTCCACCAATAGGAGTGCCACATACCTCAATGTACAATACCTCCCTCTACATTGACACTCATGAATCCTCATTCTTGATGAGGCAATGAATAAGTGTGCACCATAAAAGTGGGGAGGAAGGGTGGGAATGTGTGTAGAGGTTTGTGGCCATTGGAAATACATTTAACTTCCACAATGATACCTCACCTCTACACATAGATAGCTGGAATCCCATGTTGAGATGATGGAAGGACCAGTACAAAGATTACCTAGATGAGCTTCCTTCAGAAAGTGACTGAAGGAAGTCCATGGGGTGTGACTCCTGATTGAAGGGGCTCCAGATGGACACACCTGTGGGAGACCACATCTTGTTTTGTTCAAGTTATACTCTTCATCCATGTAGAACATAAGAGACAAAAAGCAATAAGAGTGTTGCAAAGATGGGCAGAACAGGTACACAGCCATCCAAAAACTTGCACAAAAGATGTTGGACAGCCAATATGTGTAGCAAGATTGGGGCTTATTCAGACTGTACCTTGTGTGCTCATCTCCTCTATCATCAGACTTGACAGGTCAAAACCAGCTGTGGGAAAAAGGTATTTATGATAAGTATCCATGCTCAGCTCCTCTACTGTCAACCTTTATGGACCCCATGCCAGCTGCAGGAGGAAGGCACTGTAAACTAAATAAACTTCTACTTGATCTTCAGTCACTACAGGCCCCTTGTCTGCTATTGGAGTAAGATATGTGAGTGATACTTCACTGGTGTAAATGGTGTGTTCACCTCAACTCTACAGGCAGTCTCTTCAGGCTATATGTTAGCTGTGTGAGTGGTGTGTGTGTGTTTTTTTGTCAGTATGATGGGAAATGGATTGGTAATAGAGGTACCATTGGTCCACTTGAAGACTGTATATCATAGGTAGATGTCTGGGGTGACTCACATTACACTCCGGTGTCATCTCAGCCCCACTTCTCACTGTAAAGGGACCTCTTGTTCTATCTAGCCCTAGTAGTTAGGTCCAAATTGGTGAAGATTCTCCATGGTCCATCACTCCAGCAGCTGGAAGATGGTAAGTGGCAAGGGCTTCCCATGCTTAACTTGACAAGAGGGGGAAGACTTTGGGTCCTTTAGTTTAGAAAGGCCCTTTACTGATAACAGCACAATGGATAACCATGAAACTATTTCTAAAAACCAAAAAGCGTTAGCCAGAGAAGTGGGCAGAAACAGCACTCTGGGGCTGGCTTTTTCCGTGATAGTCTATGGAATGGGTATGAGACGGATCAGACATGAAAAGTAAAATAGATACATATAGAGATACCACAAGGAAACCTCACATGGTCTTGCAGAACACCCCATTTCACAATGTGCACTTGTAAAGTCAGAACAGATGGTATGAGTGCTTTCCATTATCCTGGCTTGATGTAGGTTTTGAGTAAGTATACCCTGAGAGGCAACACTAGCCACCTAGTAGGATCCTATAGTGATTGAGAGGTGAGAAAAAAATTTTGTACACTTACCTGCCCATAAATGGAGGGTGGATTGGAGAAGAGCCATAGGTAGAAGTCAAAATTTCTATGGAGATGAAACAGTCGAGTAGAGCATATAGTTGGTGAAGAAGAATGGTAGTTCACATGCCAGTCTGGAGAAGAGCATAAGTCAGTGAAAAAGAGTAGCCAAATAATGTAGGAGGTGACAAATCTCATGTGAAAAGACACTGAAGAGCTTATATTCATCCACCCCCAAAGAGGTATAGACCAGATGGATGATCAGGCAGATCCATCCTGAATGATGGAAGGAAAAAGAACCCAGGTACAGGAGGGGACCCAAGTAATAAAGAGGACAGTAATTGGAACCTGTTTGGTACTGAATGAGCATACAGAAGTAATTTAGTAAGAAGGGGTATGCAAGAAAGGTGTGATCACTGAACCATCTTACAGATGGCTAGAGAAGGAACGACCAATCAGGATAAAGGAGAAGGTAAGTGTGATTTAAGAGAAAACCATGGCATAGGAATCTGAACAATGGCAACCACAGGCAAGGAGGAGGAGTACATGTGTATCTACGGGGAGATTACACAGTGAAGAAGTTGTTAGACGTTCGAGATGGTCCTGGGTAAGAGCTTGGAGATCCACAGTGAGATTCCAGTCAGCAAAGAGGAGGACAGTGGGGTCTGTAGATAAGGAAGGAACAGAAGATGCCACCTGATAGCTGGAGGAAGAAGAGACAGACTAGCAACAGTAGAATACACACATAAAAGAGGAGTGGTCAGAGAGGAATGGTGAAAGGGAGAACAATCATGTACTGTGATTCCTGGAAGAGAAAAAAGGGTGACCAGAGTGGGACAGTAGGTAAGTATATGACAGAATGGTATGGCTTGAAGAACAATGGCCCAGACAAATACTATGCATGAAGATGAAGGGATTTGCTCTCTAATGAAAGAGTGATGTATATGAGGTTGGATCAGAAGGGATGGTACGTTGGGAAGGGAAAAGGGGGCTTGGATGAAAGAGATGGATTAAGAAAAAGGTTGGGATTGTCAGTGAGGGGCCACCAATAGGATACTGCAGGGGTTTTTTGGAATCAGTGTAAGGGTCCTAGGTTGGAGGTGGAAGTGACGATAGTTCCACAGAACAAGATGGCACCTTACTAAGGGCATAGAGAGCTTGGTTTTAGGGGTGCGAGTAATTATTTGGGAAGTAGTAAGTTGAGAGTAGATCAATGAAGGACATGTGAGTGGAGGGACCATTCTGTGTGAAGGATATAGTCTTGTCGAGAAAGACAGCCAAAACAATGTTCAGTGAACCTGTAATATGACCGGTTATGAAACTCACCCAAATGGAATGGGCACAAAGACAGAAGTCTAAAGTCAGGAAGCAGGTGGTTCTGGAGCTAGTGTCCCTGGTGATTGACCATTTGGATCAGAAAAAATTGTAGGGATGTCTGATGGACAACAAACAGATTGAAGGTGTGATATTTAGAAAACACCCCTTTAGAGACCAAGAGCCCTGTCAGATCATCATTCAAAGACACACCACATCCTGAGAAAGAGGCATCCATATATAGGTGAAGGTCGAGTTTGAAAGGAGGTAAGGGAACACAAGAGGTGGTGGTAGAAAGGTCTAGCCACCAAGCAAGATCCTCAAAAAGAAAAGGGAAGTGGATTGGTGAAACCTTGAAAAGTTTCACTGGTCATGCAACATCTATTGTTGGGGATGCATATGTGCAATGCCCAGTGGAAGGAGAGGTTCAAGAGAAGCCATGATCCCAAAAGGAGAAAGTAACTGAAGTGTAGAAAGTAAATGCAAGGTGTAAAACATGGCGACTAGACAGTATAGGTCTAGTAGGCAAAAGGGAGAAGGTTGGGTAAAGCTGATATGAGTTGAAGGGAATTACCAGGTGAATGAGAACAAGGGTGAGGGTGACAAAAAATTAAGAAAATGGATGGGCCACCCAAAATGATCAGAGTTGCAAAAAAAGAAGGGAAGTTGGGAGGATTATTCATGGGAACAGTTGAGGAGAAGCCTGTATTCAACATAAAATAAATTGCAGACCCAGAAAATGAAGAAGCCAAGTGAAGTCCTACATAATGCAAATGCAGGGTGACCGCTACTATACTGAACAGAACTGAAAATGTGATCAAAGTGGATGAACAGAAGAAAATTTTGTGAGGATAGAGTGATTGATAAGTGGAGAAAGGCATCTGAAACATAGACCTTGGTCATCTACAGGCTAGGCTGAACTGACCAATGAAAAGAGAGAAATTCATATTCTGAAATTGCATGACGACCAAGAACAAATAAAGGAAAGAGAAGCCAATAATCAGATACTAGTCCCCCATCTTTAGGGGTAGAAAAGAAAATCCAGAGAGGTGCTGTGAACCCTTACTGTGGGTTAATTTTCCCATAATTCCAACATCACCCCCTGAGATATTAAAGGTATGCAGGATCAGATGATGGGTGAAAGGGAACTGGTTGGAACCAAAGGGAGAAGGGAGAAAAACATTGGGTGTCCACTGGTTGTTAGGCCAATAAGTAAGATGTCAGACAGAAGTGGAGTACAGGCAATATACAGGACATAAGATGAGGTAGGGAGAATCGGGTAAATCAAAAATGTGATGGAAGATTGATGGTGGGCAGCTGAAGCCAGATATCAGGAAGTCAGGAACACCACCATATTCCTCCAGACGAAGAGAAGAGGCAAAATCAAAGTCCTGGAGGAAGGGAGACACACTTGAGATAAGAAGGTTCCAACAACAGAGGAACCAGAGAAGAGTAAAAATGGGAGAGGAGGTGGAACTAGCCACAAAAGCAAAAAATTAGATTCTAGATTCGCAATAAAAGTAATGAGACGAGCAAAAAAGGGCAACCGACATAAGGTGAATGGATGAGAGGTACTTAGGAAGGGTAGTAAGAAATTCCAGAAGATGTGATAAGTGAGCTTTAGAAAGGGAAATAGCAGGCAATGAATCCAACTCCTCAGATTGGCAAAAGTGACTCTGAAGACTAGGAGTCCAGAAATGGGAAATAGAAGCAAATGATAAAAAGGAAGAACAAAGGAGACAGATAGGTGGAGAGTATGAGGCATAAAACCATGGGAAAGAAGGTGAGCTAAAAAAGATGTGGCATGTAATGATAAAACAAGTGAGAGGGGAAATATAAAGAAATTGCAAGGAAAGACTTAAGTAAAAGCAATTGGGAAGAGTCAAAAGATAATGGAGCAAGAGAAATAATAATTGTACAAATAAGGTGAAGAAAGTCAGAGGAAATCTGATGGTGTCATTCATTAGGTATAGCAGTTCATGATGCAAACCTGGAGATGGATATTGATGCTCAAATTCATCCTCATCAATTTCAAGCACAAAATTGGGGAAGGGAAGTGAGTAAAAGGGACAGGAGCAGAAGGTGACAGCTGCATAATGTACAATGGCTGCCACAGGAAAAATCATTTCCAGCAAAAATGGCTTTAATTTGTTCTGTGTGCAAATCTCAGCAAATTCAAAAAGATGTCAGTGCACTACAGTGTCGAGGAAAAGAATGAGGATTCATGAACAAGAATGTAGAGGGAGTTATTGCACACAGAGGTGTATCACACTCCTATTGGTGGAGGGTTTTGTTGCAAGATGACATCATCATGCAATGACACAAATTCATGTGTTTCCACGTGAGATTAGGTGGGAGGTTTCACAAGGTTGGTGGCTTGCAAATCTCTTTGGCAGAATGCACAAATTCAAGGAGAAAGAAGCTACCTGTGTGCTGAGTTGATATATCATTTTGAAAATATAAAGTAAGCAATATGTATGTAACTAAAAATGTTTAGCAACAATAAACATTTTAGTTCAGATCTTTATCAAATGATTAAACAACTATACAAAATGTAAGAGGAGGTGAAGCTTCACTTTTATTGTTCATTTAATAAATTGATAATTTCAGATCAAACATTTGCTAAGTTTCAACTACCATACTTAATTAACATAAAATATTTCATTACAAACACTGATAATACCACATTACAAATACTATGTCAGCTTTTTTTAAGATAATTTTCAATTGGTACATTTATGATGTATTTATTTCAAAAGTCTTGCTAAATAATTTTCAGGCAGAAATAGCCACTATATTTCTAGGTATTTTTAATCTCATTATGTGAATAACTTGTAAAGGATTGTGTATGCAAAAAATAATAACAATAGTAAATTTGGTCAAAGTGGAAAACCACCATTTGTGGACTTCATACCTCGACTTTTTCAACCACTTGCTTGCCAAAAGAGCACACTTTTGTAGAACATGTTATTGTCATATTTTCACTGCTCTCATACCTATAGGAGGAAAAATGGTGTTGAATTTTAAAAATCTTCGAAGTTAGATGTAAATATATCATGTTGCTAAGGGTTGAAATAAATTAATATTAAGCCACTGCCAAAAGCTTTGCTATACTATACAGTATTCCTTTCTATTAGTGATTTTTAATACAGCTTTTAATAAACAAATTGAAAATATGGTGTGAAATTAGAATCTTCCAATTTGTAAAAAAAATTAATGCAAAAAATATAAAACCATACACAGAACTTAGTTATAAAATAATTCAAAATTTTCTAGTTGGAGAAATCTTAATTGTATAATGTGTAAATCTAAACATTTTGAAGTGATTATATTTTGATAAACATTCAATCCATCAGTATGCTTTCTATTCAAAATGCATATATATCTTAAATAAAACTATGTTCAACTACCTTTGCAAAACATTGTCTTTTTTTTAAAGATGGTTCAAGAAGAATAAATAAAGCAACTGCTTCTAGACATTTTGAAATTGAGTTCTTTATTATAACATTTTAATGAAACACTCAAAAGTAGTCTCAGAACTAATTCTACATATATTTATCTAACAATTTTTGATACAAAATTAACTTTAAAAACATGCATTCTTCCACTGTTTTGTTCTGCTATCAAGATTACAGTATTTTTACTGATAATTTTTAGCTTAAATTTCAATAACTGTTTCCTCTTTGTGACCTTTCAAAGACTTTCTGGATGAATTTAAAGTACTGTGCATGAGTATTTATAAATGATAATGAGCACCTTCGTACACATTTTGAAAAGCATAACTGATTTATAGAGGCTAGTTAATTCCTGCTAAATAACATTATTTGCTGCTCCTGAACTAATTAAATGTTATTTTTTTCTTCTTGCAGTATAAAATTTAGATGCACTTATAACTGATATTAAGGCCAGTTTCAGATTTCTCATAATCAGAGATAAAGACACATGGAACTCACTGGCTAGTAACTCCATAGAAGGCTCCCGTTTCTTCTTGAATGCTAGTGTTAAGGTCAGCCTAAAAAAGAGATAAATTCATTGCAAGTTACTCTCTGTCATTCCATATAAATTTTGTTTTGCAGGATATTTATTTAACCCTTTTGAATACTGTTGTATTACCATTTGTAATTTGTCCCACCATATGTCTGTTCAGAAATGCTGGGATATATATATATATATATATATTCCATGGCACTCCAGTCCTTTTGGTGTATCATAGATCATTTATACTTACTTATATTATTTCTATTTTAAGAATACAAGTCATACTAAAAGGGTTAACTAGAAGTTCAACACAAAACACCCTTTTTCCCTTTTGGTAAGAAATTACCTGTCAGTTGTTATAAGTTTAACTAATCTTAATGATATGTTTTTTAGGCACTATTACTGAAGTCTCATGCAAGTAAACTTTTTCTTGGCTATGTTAAGAATTCCTATCTGTACTTTCATTCCAGTATATAAAGTATACATAAGTATACAATAAGCAATATGTATATAAATAAAAATGTGTAGCAATAACAACTATTTTAGTTCAGCTAGAATTTTTTGGAACTTCAAGAAATTTGTTTTATACAAACTTGATTTTCATTATTTAACACTATAAATTACCACATAAAAAGCTTCTATTGTTGCAAATGTCTATATAAAATAAACATATAAAAATGGTTTACCCTTACCTTTCATATATTACATTGATATATGTAATCTGATTATCTGAATCTGTTACTATTTATTGATACGCAAATAATTCTGTTCCTTTAATTTACTTACAATTCACCAGTCTTGCTCTAAAGTTTGTATAGTATAAAAAATACCTTGCAATCAAATATTAGTGCTAACAAAATTTATTTTCAAACCAATTAATAGAACAATGTGTATAATTTTATTAACTTTTCATAATTACATAAATTCAACCCAATATTTAACCAAGTATCAAAAGCTGTCAGGTTTGATAAGGAGTCTACTAATACTATACTTCAAAAAAGGACTAAGTTTTAATATTTCTCTGGAATTGAAAAACTTGGTATATTGCTCAGAACCAACTGCTCTATTGTCTTGACTTACTCTGGTTGTATAATATTTTTCACCAGCTGATAGAATTCTTTCTTTTATTTTACTTTTATCATTCTGTTCCTTTTATGAAAGTTTTGGCCAAATTATATAAACTAGCACTCCACAAAATTTGACCATTCACAAAGAAGCACATATCTTACGTATTTATGAAGACAGTAGCATTGACGAATTGATTCAATCAGATCAACAAATATACAGAAGGAATTAGACTTACTAAAAGAGTCAGACACTTAAGCTTTCAACATCAACTGAACAGAAAGACACAATAGAGCTGCAGAAAGATCATATATCACTCTATATTTGAAATGTATATTTACTGTCCATATGCTTTCGAGGCTTCAACAAGATTAGTAGGCTACACTTCTCATCTGTACAATGCAAGCTACATTTTTCAACATATTATGAACAGTATCAGGCTTTAAACATAGCTAACATAGTTCATTGTCAGACGAATGCAAGTTTGATACTCATGCACATCATGCTGTTGAGAAAGGCACTTTTCCTCAGTTTTTCAGTCTATCCAGCAATATGATATGTACTAGTTGTAAGCTGGGAATTAACCTGTGATGGACTGCCATCTTGTCCAGGGGGAATGTAGTACCATTTTTATCCACTAGTGCCAATTAAGCCAGAGTTCAACACCAGATCCTATATGCCATTTCAACATGTAAGGGCTTTGACCTTTGAAATGAGTACTGAAATTGCCACCATAATGATTTACAACTATTGAAAAAAAAAATATTTATCCCAAGTCCTATTGAAGATTTTTTGGCTAAATTGTTAATTAGTACCTTGAAAATTTAATCTGATGTAAGAGCATTTACTACTGGCAGATAAACTTTGTTACAGATGCTTTATATTCAGTAACTTTTTCTCAAATTAGTAAATTTTAATCACTGACAATTTGTGAGACAGTAAATTCTACTTTTATTTTGTTATGGGTTTGTTTAACATTCATCTATTATTCAAATAAGCTAGTCATATGAGATGTAACCTCATGGTCTAAACACTAAATAAAAACCATTCCTTGATCTTAAATGAGTTAGTTCACAAGATATAGTTAGAACAAATTATTGCAATTGTTGTTCATTATTGTTATTCATCATGAGAAGTAGTTTAATTTTGGAATATTGTGTTTTTCTTCTTTTGGTTCTTTTTTCCCAAATTCCTTTATTTATTGAAATTAATAACACCAATATTTATGTTATATTTTTTATTAACATGATGTATTAAGTTATGGCTAGGTACAGATTTACTAATTGTTTTTTAAGTGATAAAACTTGTATTCCAATTGTTTTAAAATTTTATGTTGAATTTCTATTGTTGTTACAGTTTAATATTTAATAAATTTTTTTTGTTCGACCCTGGTTGCAGCACCATTTTTTTTTAGTCTGTTACAAATTTTAAAATGCACAGTTAAAAGTAGCTTTCAAGAATGTTGTATTATATTTTAGTAAATACCACAAATGTTATTATAAAGTGAAAATTGATCTGTGTGTCTTTGTATACTGAAAAGATACTCTAAAACTGCAAGCCTTAATCTTTCTTTTATTGATTTAATGTGATAGTAACATGGAGTAATTTTGAAACCAAACATATTGTTTTTCGTTTTTTCCAGAATGAAGATTAATTTCTTAGTTTAAGGAATTTGTGGTAGAACAAAAACAAGATAACTTGCTAATACTTTCATATCCATTTTCTTTAAGGGTGGAAATATTACAAAATGCAAAGTATATTTAAGTAATTTTTCTTTTACATCTATCACATATTTGGAAATACCTTAAGAAAGTATTTTCTATATAAGAAACCAATTTGTTATATCTGTAAAAATGTGAAATAAATGTATTTTGGACACAAAGTAAACGAATCCACACCTTCATCCATAACCAGTAAATAAAAATTTTTATAACTGTGTGATAAAGAAATATGAAAAATTATAAGATCTTTATTTTCTGAATTTTTTTTTCTTTATGGATTTGTATTGAAAAACAGAAAAGCCCAACTTATGAAAAGTATTTCATTAGCTTGTTTGAAGTTTCCTCAAATGGAAGGTAATTTTTATTGATATAATAAAAGGCATTTAAAGAGAAATTCAGTATTTTATAAAATATGTAAGTTAAGTAAAGCACATCTTTCAAAAGAGTCCTTTTCAGTTGAAGATGTGTATGTTGTAGGTGCAGTTTTAACTATATTTTAATGGGTATTTTATGGTTATTTGTATTTAGTTTTTAAGATTTTTTGGTAAATCTAGTATGGATTTTAATTAGTTTTACTTGAAAATTTATTCTAAGAGTAACTGGCAAATTCAAAATCACTAAAATAAAAACAATTAATGACTATGGAGGTCTTTTGTGTTTTCTTATTCAACAATTCCTTTCATTTACATCAAACTTTTTTGGGGTATGTATGTATAAACATATATTTATTATCTTTTGAACTAATTTATTTTTCATGAATTCTTTAGAACATTTTAAATCCAGTGTTCTGCTGTTTCCAATCAAAATAGATTAATGGATTGTTTACACTTATAGTGTATTCAATTGTGTTATATCCCCTGGTGAGACAGTGGTAAGTATATGGACTTACAATGCTAAAATCCAGAATTCAATTCCCCACAGTGAACACAGCAAATAGCCTAGTGTAGCTTTGCTCTAAATAAACAAATCAATTGTGTTAAATAATAAAGACAGCATATTTTAAAATATTTTCAAGCATTAACTTTTGTTCCTAAAACATACTACTTGCCCTTAAGGTATTTTAAACAATATTTACTTTCATAAATCACTTACCCAAAACTTTACCAGAAAGAAAGCATTTTGGGGGCCTTTATCATACAACTCCTTTAATCCACCTTTTTTTTCTGGGAACTTGTCATAAATTTGTCTAATATCAACTGCCTGTAAAGAATAACCACAGTAAGAGTAAATAGGAAATGAATTACAACAAACAGATACTCACCACAATAAAAAAAAGAAAACATACAATACTCTTTCAATTTTCTTAATACCTTTATAGCACTTTTTTAAGTTTAATATTAAAATATACTATAATACCTAAATAATTCAGTAGTCTTCAGGTAGGAATGTTATGGTATTAACTTTTGTCTGATTGCAGTCTATGTACAGTAAAATATTGGAATCATATACAATTTCCTTTGGTAAAATTACATTTTCATTAAAACCACATTAAAATATTGAATGGAACCATAATTTCTATATGCTATTACGTTCAATAAGTATAAAACAAATTTTACAAGTAAAACAACAACTGATTCAACTTTAGAAACTTCCTTCCCATGTTATAGTGTACAATGCAATAATAATTCCAATGAGTTATCTATCTCACCACCTCTATTTGTAATTTACAGTATGTATCAGCTTATCTTACAAACTATTGAGGATTGTAACAACCATTGTTTTAGTTGTATCAAAAATAGTTCACAAAAACAAATAATCATAATTAAGAATAAAATGCATAAATGTCTTATATGTTAGGTTTTGTATTCCCATTCAAATTAAGATATATTTGTAGTTAAAAGAAATAATGTATATATGTATGTGCTGTGACCAGTTGTTCATAACTGACCAACAATTAAGGTTCACAATATCAAAAAGTTTGTTTGTTTATTTAAAGTTAAACACAAAGTTACACAATGGGGCTATCTGTGCTCTGCCCACCACGAGTATCAAAACCCAGTTTCTTACATTGCAAGTCCAGGGACATAATATCAAAAAGAATTAATAACAGAAAATGTGCAGAAATCATGCAAGCCATTTTTTCTCCTTTAATCATGATAAAAAGGAAACTATCATGGACAAATTTCTATAATTACCAATTTGAATATTCAAAGCTCTTCACTGAAGTTGTAACTGTGTTTTTATTATATGTAAATACAATAAATTTTAATTGATATTTAAATAAAAGATTCAAATTATATGTGCAAGCACAACCAATGTACAATTTAGGTTACTGAAAATTATCTAATTCCTGGTGATACATTAACAACTTTATAAAACTAACTTGAAATCACTTTTCACTCAGAGCAAATTTCATCTTTGGAAAGCCCCTTACAAACTTCTCTTATTGTGTTTTATAAATTGGAGAAACTTGCCTAATTTACCAGACCACACAAATTAGATATATTATAATCTCATCAAAAACTGCTAAAGCAGGATAATCTCATGTTAATTTAGCAAATCAAAGTTTAATCCAAATTTTGGAACAGAGTAAGTAGGAAAATCCAGAATAAACTTACAGATATAAAAAATCAAAAGTTCTATCTCAAGTAACCTGTAGAATCCACAATCTCACCTCAAGTACAAGATGAAATTATTTTTATGCATAATATTTCAATAATGAATCCCATATTAAGTCATGTTGTGTGTTTGTTTGCAAACTACAGCAACATTTTTAGAGCCAACAGAAACAAACTTAGCAGGCTGACTCACATGCCTGGGGGTGTTTTTATTTATATGGTGTAGAACTCTACCAAGGGAAGCTAAAACACACCCACAAGGTCACCCAGGCATGATGAGATCTAGGAGTAGATTTTCAGGGTCATGAAAACCTGAATCTGCATTGGGATAACAAGGGCACTATGTTTGAATCTCCCGAGCTAACTGGAACATACATGATCAGATATCATAGCAAGATGTCCTAATGGGGTTTGTTTTCAATCTAGTCCCCTTGAGATAGCTATAGAAGTAAATGGGTATAATGGAAGAGCTTAATGATCAGTTATCTGCATCATGAGTGGACCTTTGAACCTTGAAGTGGGGTGTGGGTATTTTATGCTAATTACAATAATATTGTCAATATACTCTAATTAGATCTGAATATTATGGAGAAGGCTAATGATTAAGAGAGAAATTGGGTATACTCTTTGAAATTAAGTTCAGATGGTATACAAAGAAAGAAAATATAATTATATTAAATGAAAGTAACAAGCATTTAATCCATATGTATTTTTAAGTATTCAGTACATAATCATAATTATAGAACAATTTTCTAAGCTGCAGATCTATAATTATTAGATCCTCCTTTCATTCATTTTATAAAGAGCTTAAAATTTTGCAATGAGCCTCATAAGGAGCCTTAAGTCCCACTCAGAGTAGAATGGAACATAAAGTAACATATCAAGAAATATATCAGAATAAACAGAAAAACTCACTTCCAATATTGGATCAGAGTAACCTGGTAAACCTCCTATGTGAACAAAGAGGTGTTTGTGGTACTGGAATAGAAAAAAACAAACTTAAGGCTCACAGTTTATTAGGAATGCATTTAATACAATAATAATTAACTGGTTTTCATACTGTTTAGATAACAAATAAAAGTTAAACTAACTATGAAAGTTCACATGGGCTAAAGTACAAGTCATAAATGCAAGAAAAACAAAATCCACACAATTAATATTTTAGAAATTGAAAAAGTAACATTCAGATCCAAATTGATTTTTGAAAATAAAATACAGCAAGATTGAACTGTTAGTTTTTCACTGCTAAAGTCTCTCATCACTATATCTAGCTTATATATGCACTTAATGGTGATAGTAAGTTAGACAAAGCCATTGGTTGTGAGAAGAAAGTTAGTTTATTGTATATGTAGTCTATAACATAGGCAGAAATGTGGCATAATTTTTGGATTTCTACAGAAAATGTATTTTCCCACTTTGATCTTTACAGACACAGAATTATCAATTTCTTCACACCTAAGTATATTTTTAAATGCTAATCTTTCAAACATTTACCATTAACAACTTTTGGTTTAAAATTTTCAGGCTCTCAAGTAATGAAAATTTGAGAGGCTTCTAGCATAGGAAATCAAACCAATAATGACAGCCTTCGATGAAACTTATTTTGTACCAGTATATTATACTCAGGTTTGGCATGGCCTGGTTATTATGGTACTTGACTCGCAATCTACGTGTTTCGTATTCAAATTCTTACCAGAAAATATGCTCACCCTATCAGCCATGGGGGGATTATAAAGTGATGGCCAATCCTACTATTCATTGGTAAAAAAGTAGCCAAAGAGTTGAAAGTGAGTGGTGTTTCAATTCTTTCATTGCTAAATTAGGGACAACTATCTAGGGAAAAGAAGGGACTACCAGGTAAATCTGTTCAAGAATTACTGATAATACATCAGCATTTAAGGTGCCCCAGTAGTCAAAAGCAGTCACAAAAGAAAATTATGCTCACCGAGTCTTGGTTTCGTTGCTGTTCCATGAAAGCAGAAAATTCAACTAAACGAAGTTTATGCGTGGCAATAGAACGACCTTCCCATGGAGATAGTGTGGTTTGGGCTAATATGTCTGTCCCAGAAACCACTGTTGAGAATGTTGGCTTGGTGGTCATACCATATGGCTGAGCAGAAAATGGTTTAACACTAAAGGAAGTAAATGTAAAATATACCAGTTACTATAATTTTTATAATTAATGCTAGTTGCGGGTATAACACATATAACCAGATGCTACACAAAAGTATAAATAAATTTTATAAAATAATTTATAGTCAAACCACACTGATCACATTTTTTTTTATGTCAATTACATTTTAGATAATTTCTCTCAGCACTAAATATCCAGCAATAATGCATCAACAGTTTTTTAACAGATAAACATCTCTGATACTTTTTATGGGAGTTTATTCAAGTCATGCAAGATGTTTTTCCATTTACATTCTTACAAAAGTTATTTAGTATATTGAAGTAAATTTAATGTTTGATTTATGTTGAATAATCAAAATTTTATTCATATCATTGTAACATTGTTCTATGATTAGGCAGGTTCTACTGAATTATTTGGTGAAAATACATGTAACAATAACAATTATACTTATTTCCTCTATAACATTTACTACAGGCTACATTCACTATAATATAAGTTGTGGGCCTACGCTCACAAATATTTATCAGAAATTGTATACAACTTCACATCTTAAAATGCACTGTCCAGATTTGAATTCATGGCCTTAATGAATAAATTTTTATTCTTCAGATCCACAAGAGTACATTCAATTATTAATTCTTCAAGACATGCTGCAGTATATGGTTCCACTACAGCCCAGTCACTAGATGTAAATTTGTTCCTAATCCTTGTATGAGTATTTCACTTCTTTGTGGTACAATAACTGCCTTCCTTGTTGTTATGGAAAGATTATCCTCTGATGTAGTAACTGTCATTTAGTGCACAAGGATTTCCTGGTCATAGACTGTGAAGCTATTTGAAGCTAGCCTAACCTACCATTCATGCCTTTAGTTGAAGTCAGATCCCAATATGCACTCTTCCTCGATGTCAATTGTCTACACACCATAAGGTGTAGAGAAGTTTCCTACAGTAAGGGTAACTTCCAGCTTTCTTTTGTTGGAAATTTATGTCCAACTCTAGTTCAAATCAACCCACCTTTTTTCATCATTGTTGGGGGCAATTTCTAATATTTAAACTTGTAAACTTGTGGGCTGATGTCTTTAAATAATGAGGTTTTTATCTTATGTGGCAATGATGGGGTATTTTCAGCTGAACTTCACCCCACAAGTTTAGCTAATTTCTGTTTTCCACTGTCTGGTTAGCCCTTTGTTGTTCCTTTGATCCTTAGGGTATTGTCTCCTTGGTTTAATAACAGCTGTTAATTCCTCACAGTCTTGATTGTAATAGCCAGGTTTCTCACATCTATAACAGCTAGAACACTAGAAACACCCATTGTCTTGTAGTTTATTTTTCCATTCTATGTAACTAGTCATCTAACTAGCCATCAAAGGGAATTGATATTTCAATACTATTTGATCTGATGGTCCTGTAACTTCTAGATGGTATCTTTTATTTGTTTATATGTGACTTTAATGGATTCAAGTTCTGTTATCAACTCAACAGCTTCCTTTAAAGTTGTACACCTACTTTGCTTCAGCATTATTCTTATATCCCCATCTGTTGTGGTATATATAAATCGGTCATGTACCAACAAATCCATCATTTCATGTGATGTAGTTAGGTTAAGTAAGATAACTGAGCAAGATTTTTAAAATCTTCCATAAGTTCAACTAAGGTCTCTTCTTTCCTCCATTTCCTGTTCTGGAACTTTGTTGTGAATACTTACTGTTGTAATCCCTCTGTATATCTCCAATAGCTTCATCAATTTTGTCTTCAATCAATTTATTTCTTTTCTTAATTCTTGTCTAAATATTATGTCTTTTTTTTTCTCATTTTCTGTCTTGTTTCTCTAATTTTCTGCCTTTTCTCCTTGGTCTTCTTTTAACTTTTTGTCTCTTGCTTCTTAATCTTCATTTAATTTTCTGTTTCTTTCTTCTTTATCTTTTTTCTTCAGTTTTATCATTTCCTGATTCTCAATCTTGCTACATGCCTATTTGTCATCATCTTGAAATTTAGTGTTCTAATTTATTTTCACCAAAATAATCCCACTTCTGACAGTCAGACCATTGTTGTAACATTGTTCTATCATTACGTAGGTTCTACTGAATTATTTGGTGAAAATAATGTGAAGTCCAAATTATGTAACAATCCCAATTAATTTATTTCCTCTATATAATTTACTCAGGATACACTCACTTTTACACAAGTTGTAGGACTAAGTTTACAAACAACATTTTCACTTTCAACAGAAACTGCAAAACTAATGTTACCTATGTCTAACTGAAAAATTCAAAGCTTACAGAATTTCCTTGCTAACTGACCAAGTAACAGAACAGATGTAATAACTCTGTCTAACATTGAACTGAAACACACATTGAATTTTCAACTGACTTTTTACATATTGAATACTCATATTTATAATTTACTCCCCTTTTTTCCAAATTCCATAAAATGTTTATATTATTATACCATCATGGATAAACATAACTTAAAATCATTACTATACACTTATAAAGATTGTTTTAATAACCAGAAAGAAGAAAAGATCTAAAATATTACTGTGTTTGATTAAAGAATTATTGTTCAATTCAGTGTACAATACTTAGATTATTTTAAGTTTTACAATAAAACATTAATTTATATTTCTAAAAGCGTCTTGTGTCATTTAACAATCTTAACTTCATGAAAGTCCAGTACACAACAGCAAAAATATAAAAACAAATATCTTAAAAGTATTAACATTACAGTTCTATAAAATTTCAGAACAAGTTTGTTACAAAAGTTGTAGGAATTGTTTTCTCACAGGAACTCTGATATTTTTAAAGAATTATGAAGTAGTTAATTTACTTAACACTTACTCTTCTGAGGTCCCTGGCTGACCAATTGTTGTTTGCCAAAACTATGTAAAGACAAAGAAAACATCCATATCAGTCGATTAATATAAAATCTTAGTCAAAAGATGGTTTCACCAGAAATTCTTTATGTCAGCTAAAATGACTGAAACCTTGCTTTCCTACTGATCATTGATTCTTGTTTTGTAATGAAATGCAAGAAAATTATATAAATAATTTAAAAAATAGACAACTTCTTGATCTAATAAATTCATAAAATACTTCAATTACATAATTGATAAAAAAAGAAAGTATTTTTATATATTTATAACCAGTGATTATTTTTTAAGGAACAATCACTTACAGCTGCTCCTGGATAGCTAACAGTAGGACCAACTAGGGAAAGACCAGCCTTGTTCTGGATGGCAGAAGCAGAAACAATTTGGGCGGATGACAGTGAAGTTAGTGACTGGAGGGCTTTCTCCTTTGAAGCATGATCCTGGGAGTGAAACAAAGATACAATCTGAGCAGAAGACATGGATGACATCGACTGCAATGCCACCTCCTTGGAAGTCTGGTCCTGAGTGGGAGAGAGAAAACCATCGGACCATTCGATGGTTATAAATCCTTTGACCATATGATGAATTATAGCAAAGGACAAGGAGGAGCAAAGAGAAATGGCCATGATGATATAACCGATATGGTTATTTTAAATATGTCATATAAATTAAAAGGTGTTATACTACTGGTACAGGCTCTAAGTATAAATGTGAATTAAGTTTAGTGGTAATATTACTGATATTAGAAAATGCAAGTTTCATTAATTCTACAGTATCTGAGCAAAACGGATATATTTTTAAAATTAAATATTAACCAAAGTATTTTGGATACAAGTGTACTATTATTTTATAATTAAATATTAAACAATATTGATTATGATTTCTTTTTCTTCAGCAAATTTTGACAATTAATATAAATGACATAAATGGATCCTAAAATCAAGCATGATGATCAATCATTATGGCATTTGAAATATTTTTTAGTAATGAAATAATATTCTGTTTTTACCATAAGTTGAAAGAAGTAATTTTGCCTTTCTTACTGCCATATATGGCTTTACAAAAAAATATAAACTAACAAGTAATATAAGACTAACTGACAATAAAAATGTCACCAACTTTCCAAACAACATACAATTTACTACCAAATTAAAAACATATCATTTTACTAAAGAGTTCATGTAGTAATGTGCAGACAATTTTATTTCCTGAAGAGGAAATTTCAGTAAGGAAAAGGTATGAAAATATCTGTATATTTTGCAAAAGTATTAAACTGAATCTCAAAATAGCATAACTTATCATCAGGTTATATTATTTGAAAACAGGATAAACCAAGCCTTTCAATACTAATAATCATTAGCACTAATCAAGTTAGTTATTCACTGTTAATTCTTTCCATCTAGGATGAAGATTAGGCTTGGACAGTGTTACTGAGTGAATAAATAAATATCTTGCTTTTTGGACAACAAAAATAATTTGGAAAATTAATTCTTTGTATTTATAGATCACTTTACATTTTTGGAGGAGGACATAATACACTGAAATATATTCAAAAAATTTGCTTTGCCATGTCCTCTTCAAGGATTTTCAACTTGATGAGTGTTTTGAGGATGATGTTCCACTAATTCTCATTTTTTCTCTTCAAATTTGTTTCTAGATTTTAGGCTTTTCACTACTGAATCACATTTTTATTGTTCCGAGCTTTTTCACAGCTAATGAATTGCATCATTTCCACAATATAAACTTCATCTAGTTCCTTAGTAGTGTCTGTAGCTTTGTGTGTCTTATTACTCCTATCAGTTGATGAGGAGTTAATGAAATAACATAAATTATTATGGAACTCATAATTAGCAATTGCCATTTAAAATGTGAAATTAAAGCTTTATAAAAAATAACGAATTGGTAATGCTAGCAAAACCATGTTGACTTTTGTTAGATGCTCAAGATGCTTTCTCTAATGGTACCTTAAGAAATATATTCAACAGCTTACTAATAACAAGTTTGACACAAGCCAACAACTATTTTTTTCTTTGAAGATATGGGCCATAATGTTGATGATTGTACAAATAATTATATGAGATAACTGCTAAATTCTTTGCTAACTTTCAGTAGAATGATATCTGATCTTTATTCTCTTGAAAGTTTTAACCTATTACAGCAAAAAAGGTCTAGCCCCATTTAATATAGTTCAAACTTGATATTCCTCACTACTAAACAAATTACCTAGGCAAGCAATTTTATCTTATCCTTTGATAATATAAAATTATTACACTGAGTTTACCATTGATATTAATGTGTTTAACATTTTCAAAAATTAAATATGTTTTACTTTCTCTTCTGCTCATTTAAATGAATAAAAATTTTCTGATTTAAGACTGTGAGTGAAAACACTTTTTACACTATTTTTGTGTGACACCTGAAAGGTTGATTCACTTAGCTAAATGTTTTAAATGAACAGATACAAAAAAATAAAATCACAGGCATTTAAAAGAAACAGATACTTTAGTAGGATTAAGATATAGGTTGTAGTTTCTAATCTAAATTAAAGGTTAGTAAAACACAACTAATTAAGTGAAGTTATTTAGGTTAGACTACAATAACAGGTTGAATCTAATATTGGCAGGTGTTTAAAAGCAAGAACAGTTGACAGAGAAGCAATCTACAGTTAGCATGCTTCATTGACTTAACTATTAAAGCACTAGAACCCTTACATTCAACCAGGTTAGCTGTGCTAGAGATAGTTTTCTCTCTCTCCCTCAACTTGGATCAATAAACACCAGTTAGTTCCCAAGGATTTTTTTCTCTCAAGAGCTGAGGAGGTCAGAATTAAAGTTTATTTTATCAAGACAGAAAAATAAACTCGTACTTGCACAGATAGATATTACTTGTTGGATGATCACTTTATATACAGCCATACAAACATATAAGAGATACAGGCAGATTAATAAACTTAAGTATAGTTCAAGACTCAGAATATATAATTTTTCTATGAAGCTACAGGTTCTTGTTTATATACAAACAAAAGATTCATCTAAATGTTTCCCCACCTATGTATGTTACACATGACTAAAAAAATCTTTATAATTTTCAAAGAATGAATAGAAAGATAGTAGTAAAAAAATGTCTTTACACAACAGCTCAAACATTTTATTGGAAAAAATTAAATCCTTAAGCTTTTCCGTTAATATCATATCAGGTAATGGTTAGTTACATAGGTTCATTGAGCCTAACTAAGAGGTTTGAAAATGATCTGTTTCAACATCTTTTTTTTTATATAATTCAACCTATTCCTTGTGTTTTCAACACTCTTATTTAAAATTTTACATATGCATATTTAAAAAAAAAAAATCCTTTGAATAATATCCCAAAGAACCAACTATGAGTAACAGCTATTTTTATTTTCAATATTTTCTTTAGCTACTAACTCAGATGGTAACTATATTGATGGAACTGAAATGAATCCTTTGTGCTCTGTTTGAAGTTGTTATCAAACGAAGAGCAACTTGATTGTTTTAACAAAATTTAATATCTTGGATCACAAAACTATCTTCAGCTACATTTCATTGAGATTATAAAAGAAAATTTTATTTAGCGTCACTTAACCAGACAAATAGCAAAAATTTGTAGGTTATATTTCTTTTTAATTTTCCAAGCATAATTTTGTAAAACTAGCTACTTGAGATATTTTTTCAAGGTGAAACAAAATATTTCACAGCAAACTAAAGTTACAAAATTTGTATATCCAAATGTCTTTTACTCATGTTGTACACTTCACAGATGGGTAAAGCACTAGCTAAAAGGAAAAATAACTGTTTTAAAAGCATGGTCACATGCTACACACTAAGACATAAAACAGGTTGATAATTTTTAATATTAAGAGTTAGAAGGAACTTATGAACCTTATGAAGTGTTTCAAAAGCATAGATTATTAAAACAATCCCACTTCTTTGGTTACAACCAGTAACACTTAGGTGACCACTACCAGCCAGACTATTGGTAATTATCTGAACTATGGCTTCAAGTATTAGTTAATGTAGTTCCTTAATAATACACAAAATGCTGTGTGAATTTATTGTATTTCTATATGGATAAGGGAAGTATACATTCTCTCAATAGATGGGGCCACCAAGCAACAGTCTCACTAAATGCAATTGTAGTTTCTAAAAGATTAACTTGAAGGTTGAGAATAGCAAAAAATAAAAATAGTCTATTACATACACGTACTTTTGGTTACTAACCTATAACACACTGTCTAAAGAGGTGGCATGGTGCTTCAGACACTAGCTAGCATTGAATTTTTTATTTTCTTTATAACTTTATTAATAAAAAAGGGATATCTTTGAATATATCAGCTATTTGGTATCATGACATTTGAACACAAACATAAACGCACTTAAGCAGGAGTGGGTGGAGAGCAAGAATAGCGGGTTAGATTGAGTGTATGATGTATTACTTCCTGGTAGTAATAATATTAAATACTACTTAAAGCGACAAATGCTTATGGATTTTAATTACAATCCAGCCATATCACTGATAAAATGACATAAAAAATAAAGCATGAAAAAGATCGCCACAAATCAAGTAAATCTCTAAATTCACTACTAAACTTGCCTTCAATTTTGATTGAATTTCGCGGGATTTCCGCCGAGCCAATACTTGAATGTGACTAGAGACCTGCTTCCTAGTTCGAGTCTTCCCAGTACGGAGTTTTATATACCTGGCGATGAGCTCATTTCGACCTGTAAGTAAAAATCGGAATACGGGATTTATGTATAAAAATCAAAATTATATATATAAACATACATATATTAAATAATTCTTCTTTTTTTTCAGTTATTCATCCTGTGAGAAGGAAACTTTTTAAGCATTAGCTGGTTTTGAGTTCTAATATAACGAAAGGCTTCGACAGCTACAGTTTCCGTTGTTAAGACCTTAAAACTGTATGAAAACCCCTGAAGATCGTACTCAATTTCATATACTTGTAAAACATAAAAAATATTAAAAACTACATTTGCGGTTCTTAAAACATTAAGAAAAATATGTGAGTTTAACATAATCAAGTAAAAGGTATTTGGGAATGGATATATATATATATATATATAGTAGAGTAACTTACCTTCATCCTTTAAAATAGACCAACATTAAGTAAACGTTCCACTACTTTCCCCACGCTTTTCTCTTCTGGGATGTGTGCTAACGTGTACTAGTACTACTTACTATCATTACTAAAATGCAAACATTTTATATTAAAAACTAATGAATGGAGCTGCAGAAGTTTAACTAGAACTCGGAAACATCGCTTGACGAGAAAAACAGTTTCTTAAAGTCTCAAGTCCTACATTATTAACACTTCATTCTCAATATTATATATTCATTACTTCTGATATTCTTCACAAAAACAAATGCTACAATACACGTCTCACCGAAATGAAGGGCACGAAAGATTATTTAAAGTAAATAAGTAAGACACGCTATACTGGAGTAATACACTGGCAACTGTCATGAGTCATCTCTGCTTTTGAGTGCATTTAAAGTAAAGCAAATTCTAGGTATTATGAGCAGCATTAATCATTCTACTACTACGACCTTCCATTTATCAGCTCTATCTTGTCAAGCCTGTTGCTTACATTGGCAAATGGCCAAATTTGCAATACGTCTACGTTGTAACTCTTTTGAGAGTCGTTTGTTTTATTACTCTTCATTGAATAACCTGAACACGAATAGCGTGGTCCTACATTTATTGTATCTTTTTATCTATATAATGGCATGAAACGTTTAGCTTCATACTTTGTAAGTGTCAAATTGCCGTTCTGTATAAACTTTTTCTCCTAATTCAAAAAAGTATATTAGTTAAGATCCATAAAGCAGTTTGCTTCACTTAAGGCACTGAAACACGTTCATTTATTTAGTCTTTTGCAAATCAACATTCAAACAAGTCATTAATGATTAAAATAATGAACAAGTTATGAGCTACTTTAAAAATAACAAAAACTCTGTTAATCTAGGAATGCAAACGCGTTATTGAAATTAGACTCTAGAGCAAGTTTGACTTTGTTTTGTTTCAATAAGAAGTGTAATGAACCATCACATTATTAACTCCACTTTTTGGGTCAACGACAGATTTTTAGAAAGAAGAGCACTATGCTAGCTCAAAGGGAACTGCTAAAATACGTTTAAGCTTTTACGTTGTGATGTCTTACCAAAACAGTAATCTATCATGGTTCATTTAGCGGTTTGAAATACACGATTAACTTTTATCACTTCCAAATAAGCGCATTTCGCCTCAACGACAAAACTGTACCGTTGAATTAAAATATTTATAGAATATAAAATTGTAGTTGTTCTTCACATATTAATGGAAATATATATATAATTAAGAGCTGAAATTTATTCAATAAATAAACTTTATTTATTTCATTTTATTCAATAAAATGTTAAAATCACAAATTAAACATTAGATTGACTTCAGTACGCTCCGGGCATAATACAACACTCATAGTCTTTAAGAAGAAAATCATAATATATTTGAACAAAATAGCGCCAATTTGACCTTATAATGTGAATACAAGTACAATTTCATCGATTTTAGCCAATCACTGTTTTTTAACCTTTAACCTTTTTTAACAGGCTAGTATTCTAAACATATAACGAAAGCTCCGTTATGCTCTTTTCAACAACGTAAGTGAATAAGGCTTCCAGTTTGGTGGAAAGCTATCTAGAAATCAGTACAAACTGATAAAAGCTTAGTTTGGTGATATGTTGATAGAAGAAAAGACGTTTGTGAACTACTTTCGCTACAATAAGCCCTTATAAATACACACACATATATGAATATATTCAAATCTTGCTTTATCACTTTATACTTCATTTGAATTATTTGCAGTACGCTAACAAATTAAATGTTTTTCGTGGTACAAGATCGGGTAAGCTTAGTTAAATCATTTTGCACTTGACCGTATCAACTTTCGTTTTGCCGACAAGGCCAATGTGTAAGGTCTTGTTTACAATAGACCTTATCGACCCAAGTAACTGCTTGAATACGCAAAGGAAATCGCCGAACAAAAATGTAAAAAATATACGCATATATTAATGAATATAAAATGGGTTTAAAACTTATTACACGTATTAAATGAAACCCTCTGATTAAAAGCTATTGAAAAAGTAGGCTTGCTTGTAATTTTGGTATGGTAAAAAGTTTTGTTTCTTAATATAGTAAACAGCAAAAGTGTGTGCGGCGTTTTTCGAATCAAACATAGGCCCGGCATGGCCAGGTGGTTAGGGCGCTCGACTCGCAATCTGAGGGTCGTGGGTTCGAATCCCCGTCCCG